CTACGCCGTGGCGGAGGGGACGGCCCCCACGCAGCCCCGGGGACCCGGGCAGCAAACGCAGCGACGGCAGAGATCACATGCAGAGGGAGCAAAGCTGGAAATCTTGGCTTTCCACCCCAAAAATAAATGCCTGAGTGGTCTGCAGGCTCTCCCTGGCCCAGGGTGGGTTGGGGTGGCAGGGGGTTACACCCTGCCAAGGCAGTGACACAGGGCTCACGATGTCCTTGCCGGGCTGTTCAAAGCCCTCCCCCCTCCAGTAGCAGCGGGGTCCCACATCCCCTGTCCCCAAGCAATGCCCTCCCCAGGCCACGCAGCATCCTGCCCTACCGCGCTGAGGACTGACACAGCTCATCACACCTTGCCAGCGGGCACAGCAGCACCCTGCCCATGCGGCCAAGGACGAGCCAAGACCGAATCGCTCCCCATCCCAAGCAACAGCCTAAAACACCGTGGGAATTCAACCAGAAGCCGCGTGGTTTGGCTCCGGGGTACGGGACCGCGGGGCGGCTCGGGGGCAGAGGTCCCCGGGGACGCGGGGAGGGGACAGGCTGGGGACAGGGACTCACCGTGAGGCAGGTCGGCCGTCAGGTGCGGCAGCATGTAGCTGCGGACCAGCTCCCACCCGAAGTCATCGTCCTCGCCCTGGCTGTACTCGCACTGGTTCGGGTCGCCGTCCTCCTCGAAGGTGCAGCCAGCTGCAGAGAGAGAGACCCGTCAGTCCCCGCCGAGACTCCGCAGAGCGGTGGTCCCCCCATCCACGAACCCTGCCGGGAGGGGGTGCTGCCCCCCGAGTCACAAGGGGAACCCCAGGCTTCCCCCCACAGGCACCCGTGAGCGAGGACGTGGTCTTGTCCGCTGCTAAGCCCTCATCTCCTCTGTGCAGCTCCCCCACCAGTGAAACGAGCTGGCAGGTCTCAGCTCCCGGGCAGGTCTCAGCTGTGGGAGCAGGATGTGGCTCCCAGCTTTGCTTCCCGGGGGGCCGGCCATGGGAAGGGGGGGTTCTCCAAGGAAGAGGCACTCGACTGCAGTGGTCACACACAGATTCACAAGGTCCCAGGGGCTCCTGCAAAAATCCTGCTCTGACCTCAGCCCCACGCGTGTTTTGACCCTGAGCTCTTGGGGTGTCTGTCCGTTGCCTGACACGACAACGACAGGTCTCAGCCGGGACCTCCAACAAGCCCCGCACCACCTCCCCAGGCTGCGAGGCGCTCGGCTGAGCACGGAGAACCGGAATAAACTGAGACATCAGCCAGCACCCCCATCCAGCCCCCCTCATCCCATCCCATCCCGCATCCAGCCCCCCTCATCCCATCCCACATCCCGCCCCCCTCATCCCATCCACATCCCGCCTCCAGCA